TCTTCCATCTCATGCGCCTTCCCTAGCTTGCTGATGGAAGGATTGGTTCAAACAGCCGCCTCAACCTGCTGCATCTAGAACTCAGCCCTACGCCGCTCGCACATTCCGAAGAATGCCCCCAACCCCCTTTACTAGGCGCCTCTCCTACTCATTTCGAACACCCACTCGCCAGTCTCATGACTTCTCGCACGCTGAAACTCAGCATTCCTAGCGCCCAGCACCGCGGCTATCTTCCTAGGGGTAGACAGCCATGAGCAAGGCTAAACCTTACGCCACGAGCTGAAGCCTTCCAGCCCCCCCATGCATCGAGATCGATCCAACCGGTGGTCTATTCACCTTCTTCACCGGCGGCGCTGTAATTGTAGAGCCCCCTCTGGAAGGTGTTTGGTCCTCTGGTTCAAGGTTTCGTCCCAGAAGGAATTTTCTGTCTGGCACCAAAAGCTGGTCGCACACGCCCCCTCCCTTCTCTCGTCCCAGGACGATGGGTCATACATCGCCCTCTGCGAAACTAGCGTCCAGTTAATCACTGGCTTCGGAATGTGTTCCTCATTGAGGGAAACTTAACCCAGGTACTCGGAATCAAAACCTTAGGAACGGCATCGATGTTTGAGTTGGTCCATCGCGCTCCCAACTACTGGCAGCGCCCTTGTGCATCATGTAGATCAATCAACCGACCTGGTTTCTGCTAACCAGGTACTAGTTAGCATTCATCCATGCGTCTATCCGCATTAAACAATGGTGCTACCGAACAGACGAGACACAAATGGATGCGACCCAAGATGCATAGTATACCTTGTCACATTCTTGTCATTCTGTTCAAATCTCACCATTACATCGGGCCAGAGCCAGTGTTTTATGGGGTTGGGGTCGCATCTGAACCCATCAAAGGATGCTCTCATGCGACGCCATCCACCATACAGACTGCCCGTTGAGGAGCAGATACGCGTAATAGGTCCTTCCCACTCGCGAGTGAGAACTCTATTATCAACTCGAAAAATATCCCCCCCTATCAGCCATGTACATCACACCCCAAGGCCTAAACGAGGGAATTGGGAGAGAAGTACGCCTACATTTGTCAGAGAATGAGCATAGATGCTTGTACGGAGTGGAAGCCGGGCTGTTGCAGCAACTACCCGTCTGCTTACATAGTACATGCTTGCCTGCCCGTCCTCCGTCCAAATATTACTGACAGGTCCACTTCGAACGATGGCCGAGAAAGCACCGTAAGCCAACAAGGTCGCAAAGTAGGCTTCCTTTCCCCAGTATACTGCCGGGCATGGAGTATCGGGCATTGACCGGGAGGGTTAGCGGAAGCCAAAGGGTCGATGCTACGCTGGCACAGGCAGTACCACCACAATGTAATTAACTTTTGGAGGGGTCTCTCTGACTCGCAGCATGCAGCCAGAGGCACACGCAAGCGAATAGGCAGGATTTGGTCTTGCATCAACGCCCCGGGGTCTCTTCAAGACCGGGACATGTTATAGCCATTTGGGGCGATGGCTTCGGGCTGGGTAAAATGGGGGAAGCCATCTTGTGCCGCTGCCACTGCCACCATCAGTTGGGAGACACTAGATACACGGCGAACACATTTCCACTACGTCTATCTAAGACTGACGAAGAGTTTCTCAGACTGCGAGGGGCCCCCGTCTCTCGAATGCTTATTTTATGCCGGGTGAAATTGTGGCCACGGCGAAATAGGCAAAAGAGCAATAGTTAGCGGAACAAAAGACCCCTGGAGGTGCTACATGCATGTCTCTTATAACACAAGGATCATACCACCAACAGGTCGATGGCCGGCCGGAATGGCTAGTGTAGTGCAAGATGAGATGCCATGCCATGAGCCTTCTGGTGTGATTCGCTTTGTTCCATTTCGAGAAAGCGATCTGCTTCCCAAAACGTGCTCGGTGGGTGAAGTGCTAACACTCTTTCGTCGCGTGGTAGTGCCAATCTCCTGTCTTAGCACAGCCAATGGCTGGCCGTCTTGGGTTGCTATAGCCATTATTTCAACGATTACTGATCAGAATTCCAAGGCGCCTTCAAACAACACGTTCGCAATCGATTTGCGCGCCACCTGAGAGATTGAAAGCATGGAGAGGAACGCGGCAGAAATCCAGCCATGAACTCAAGATCGTACCCAGCCGGACGGATTAGGAAGTGGACAGGCAAGAATGGGCTCCTTCACGTCGCATCGAGGAGGCAGTCTGTGCTCAACTTACTAAGGTCAGATACCACAGCGATCCCTGTTCTCCTCCTCGGTCCAGCGAGCTAAACCAAACAATCACTGCCCGCGCCATGGCTTCCCAGTAGGGACATATTACGCCCAACGGACTGCGTCGAAGGTGACCTGTCATTCAATTCCCCTCCGCAGGTCCATCCACACCTCGATCCGGTCCTGCGCGCCGCCAGAAGGGATGGAGGGTGAGTGCCTGTCAGACACAGGCATGTCTTCCAGTTAAACTTCGTCATGACCGTACCAAGCCTCGGGGGGACGAACCAACGCAACCCTCCAGGGCTAGATTGAGGCTGCAAGTGAGCGTTACCCCGGCCTTGAATCTCGGCGGGATGGGTACGGCGATACTGTGTGGTTAATGCATAATGATGTTCACCAGACATGCTCCGTGCTTTTTTTTTCCACTTTGTTCAAGCTCTTCTGGGAGTAAACTGGAGAGCTAGCTGCGAGAAAAGGGAGTGAAGAGGGCATTATCACACGCTAATGTCCAATTGAAACGAGGCTATTCCGTTCACAGCGGAAGCCAGCATTGGAATCAAAAATGAATACGGCAATCACACTGACTTGTGCGTGTACACAACCCGAGCGTCTGGTCCATGTCTCTTCCCAGGAACCGGTTTACTTGCCCCGACGATACCTGCAAGGTGTTTCATGCCAGCCAGGTCAGCGCGGGTTAGGCCCCCAACCATCACACCAGCCGAGAACCGGGGTAGCAAAGAATCGATCAAGACAGCCAGGGCATTGAGTAAGGGGGGTGTGAGGAAGGATAGATAGCATGAGGGATCAAGTGAGAAATGGGGCGAGGCTGGCAATTGAGAACATCCATCCAGACTTGACAGCTCCGCGATTCCGTGGGCATTTACCTGGGGAGCGCTGTCACTTGCAAGGGGAACCGATTCCTTTGGGGAGAATGGCAGGTTACATTGAGCACGCTCCAGGAACCCTCACTCACCACATGTAGAGCACGGTAGGTATATCCAGGCCCGTTGTAAGGCCATCCCCATATCGCAGGTTGGTCAAAGCAGAACCCGGCATCGCAGGGAAGGGGGAGCATGTGAAATAGCACCGGAAGACCAGGGACGAGATCCGCCACAGGGGGGCGTGGGCGAGAGTAAGGATGCAATACATGTAAAATCCCCGTTTAGCTCGTCGGCGGCCTGCCTGCCTCTCAAACCGTACAGAGCACGACACCAAAAACCATCAGTGATCCGCGTCTGTCACTTCTGATTCTGCATCCCAGGGCAAGCGCGGTAGCTTCCCTGAAAAAAAAAGTCCATTTAGGTCGAGGACAGCTAACCGCACTCGGGCAGGGCTCCGGGCGGAAAACGAGGCCAAAGAGCAAGAAAACCCACCCTCGAATTTCGAAGAACCGCGCTTCGTCCTCCGCCGTTTCCAGTTGAGATTCCTTCCCGCAGCCACTGGGGAGCCGTCGACAACAACGCCCCTCCTCCCACGAGTCGCCCAAAACCCGCCTGACGGGAGTGCCGGGCGGCGTTCTCAGCATGGCCTCTAAGCCTGTCGCCATGGAGGAGTGACCTTCCGAGCAGGCGAGAACGGGGCGGATAGCGCAGACGCTGGGCTGCCTTGAGCTTAGTTGCGTGTCACCCTCGTAATTGCAGGGCTTTCGATGCGCCACCACCACACCTGATGCAACTGTGGCTTTGCGAAGGGCCGCAAGGATTCTTTGCTGCCATTAATACACACATAGTACGTGTAAATGTGTGCCGATATGTATGCAAATGCAAATGGAGGCATGTTTCTATATGCAAGAGTGCGCCATCGACGCCACCGAGACAAACAGCCCGAACTGGAATCACATCACAGCTCCATCAGTCAGTCCCTTGTTTCACCACGATGACTCTGCATTTCGCTTGGACCCCAACCCAACGCCCGCGCCGCCGTTGTTATAGGCGTGCCCGGCGGCACCTGTGCTGGCCACCATCATTTTAATTCCTTTTTTTCCCTTTTGGCTTCCTTTCGCCTGCTCCGCGCACGAGGCGTCCAGCTGCAAGGGGGTCCAACCGGCAAAATGGAAGAGAGCTAGAAGATCGAGGCGAACGTGGCCCGCCCGTTGAAGCTGACATGCCTAATCGCCCGCCGGCCGTTCCTGGCAGGTCATTGGCAGGTCATTGGTACGCCTAGTGTAGCATCTCATCTCACCTCGAACCCTATCAGGCCGCACGGGCAGACCTCCAGCATGAGGAAGGACACGGGCACGGCGGATTGATTCATGGTTTCTTTGCTTCTTTGGCCAGGCTTTTTTCTTCTTTCTCACTGCATCTAGATGATGATCCCCTCCCACCCCCAACGCCGAGCATAATCTTAAGTGTCCAGTGTTAATTTACACTAATGCGGCCCTGCAGCCTGTCACTCTCTCTAGGTGAGCACAAAGCAGATCAATCGTACGTTTGTCATGATATGTATGTCTGATGTGGGAGCTTGGCTGTCTCGGGAGAAGGAGGGCACGCTCCGCATTGAATGTATTCCTAGTCTGGAGATGTGAATGAATGTGCATGCATATATGTATGTATACGCCGTGTATATCGTGAGAAGGGACTCTAGGTAAGGTAGCTATCAAGTCTCCGCCCAGTATTCTATCGTCCCAGGATCGTCATCATAAACAAGTTAAATAACACATAAAGATCAACTAGACTATATCCATGCGGCGAGACAGTCTCATCAACATTGTCTCCCATCAGACGTCTACATAAAATATGTATGTGCGAGTAAATGCTTGATAGACCAAAGAGTTGTATATTTTTGTTCCGTTCTAAAAGTCAAATTCGGGCCGGAAGATCGCTGGATCAACGCCAGCAACCGTCTTCTCAGCTAGATCTCGCCTTCCCATCTGCGTAAACACTCTTCGTAACGTGTCGTATAAGGTGCTGCTGCGGTTTTGTGCTGACATTCGGTCCAATACCTCGTCGACCTGTCCGCCAGCACCGTCGCCGAGAATCTCATATGCCTTGCTGCGGCCTGACTTCTCAATCGCCTTATGCATGTCGAGAGCGGCCAAGAAGTGGCACGCCGCCTCATGGTGGCAGTTAATGTTAATGCAGCTGACGCCCAGGTTGTAGCGTGCGCGCACAAAGTTCGGTGCTTGCGACAACGCCTGTTCGTATGCCGCGATGGCCTCCTCTGATCGGCCGCTGTTCGCAAGAGTAGCGCCCAGTCTGTTCCACAGAAGGTGGACCTGCTCCTGTTGGTTTGTAGATCCCAGTTCCGAAGAATGAAGGGCCGACTGGAAGCAGTCTACTGCCTTCTCATACTCCTCGGCACCGTAGAATAAGACACCAAGACCAACTTGCACATCGGGATCCATATGTTCTCCATCGGGGCTCAGCTGGGCTGCCCGGATGAAGGATTCGGTCACCTTCTTGTGAAGCTGTTGTCGATCTGTGAAACCTGTATCGCCCGGGGGGTGCAGGTCCTTGGGGTCCAGGATCTGTGGATACTTGACTGATAGCCAGCGTTCAAGTGTTCGATACGCAGTGCTGTCATACCCTTCATTGGTATAGGACACTGCTAGGCCCATGAGAGCTGTGAGGTTATTTGGGTCCAGTTTCAACGCCTTCTCCAGAGCCCGGATGGCCGCCGTCTCCTTCTCATTCTGTGCCTGGGCAGTACCGAGATACACCCAGGCTTCGACGTGGTCGGCATTTCGCTGTACCGCAGCCTCAAATGCCAGGGCAGCCAGCGACAGGTTGCCGCCCTCCCTCATGATCCGCACCCCTTCCTCAAACGCATTCTTCTCCTCTCGGAAGATGTTCTCTTCCTCGAACATGTAGCTTTCGACAACTGGGTCTCCGAATCGTCCCCAGTCATTCACGCCTTGGAAGTCGGGCATGAGGTCGTTGTTCCATTGGTTGTCGAACTTATCGAACAGGTTCTCTTCGTTAACCATAGACCTAGCAGCAGCCGTCTCAGCTTGTATTCCCTTCCAAATAGATTCGAAGTCACCGAACTCATTGGTTTCAGACTGCATAGCCTTGTCCATATCCTCTAGCTCCTTCTCCGCGGCGACCGCCTCCTCCTTGTCTTGCACCTCGAGTTGGGCAAACTGTTCTTCCCATTTAGTATCGTCAAGCTCGACGAGCTTTCCCTTACCCTTCCCCTCAGCCTGCTGCGGTTGCTGCATGTTCATCATCTGCTGATTCTGGTACATGGGCTGGAACATGGTCTGTCCGTAGCCCATGCCCATGCCCATCATCCCACCTCCGAGCATCGGTCTCTGTTGCAGCTGGCTGGGAGTGTTGCTCTGTAACGGCGCCGATGCCGAGGATGCGGCGGGATTTTGGCCCATCTGTCTGAATCGAGCAAACTCCTCGGGGCTGAACTGGGCTCCGGGAGGCGGCTGGAACGCCGAGTCCATGCCCGGCTGGTTGTGGAAGTCCTGCGCCCACGACGGCGAGGCGGAGGCGGCCCTCATTTGTGGCATCGCATTCAGCCCCGCAGGACCACCGGCCATTGCCTGTTCATGTTGGAGACTCGGTCCGCTGTTGAGGAATCCGTTGACCATCTGCAAGCGAGTAATATCAAGTCAATTAGCGCTGGATATGCATAGCCGATAGCGGCGGGGTGTGATCTAGGAACCTCATCTTGGGGAGCGTGTGCGCTCTGTGTTCGAAAGTTCATCTGGCCAGCCGGCCCGCGCCCGACGAGGCGGTCCCTCTGCAGAGTCTTGTCATCTTGAACATGCTTCTGGAACTGACTCAAAGGGTTTCCGGCCGTGGAGCACTCGGCCCCTCCCATGAACGACATGTTGGAAAGCTGATCTCGGTGGGGGCGGTTCGAAGGCTAAAAGAACATCACCTCATGAAGTCTAGCAAGGTTATCGATGGTGCCTTGGGAGGAGGAGGTTGTTGAACGGATGGCGAAGATTAATAATGTAGCATGTGAGTATTAAGCTAAGGTACGACAGCGAACGGAACGGCGAGTCTATCGTTGGGTGACGTCCCAATCGCAACTGTGCCGAGTCGGGAAGGAGTGGCCGACGGTGGGGGTTTAGTGCCGAGGCAGGCGGCCAGTTGGTTGGTAATCTGGAAGGGCGGTTCGCTCTCCGCAAAGTTAGGATAGCCTTAGCGCACGTGACGGAAGGACTACCAGCAAAAGGTACGTACCCTTTATCGATAACGATTTTTTTTGCTGGCTGAAAAAGATATTGGCGAAGCCAGAAGGAAGGAAGAGAGGTAGCTACCATTCAGTTTGCGTTCGCATTTCGATCCAAAAACCAGCCATGCTCCGGACAGTGTAGGTCCAATTGATTATTCCACATTCTGACAAGCTCTATAAGCTAATATCTTCCGCCCAGCAAACCTCGCAATGCCCGCTCCAAGCGGGCTCTCGAGAAGCGCGAGCCCAAGGCCATCGAGAACCCAAAGTCCTGCCTCTTTCTCCGGGGGACGACCTGCTCCCAGGTGACGCAGGATGCCCTGACGGAGCTTCACTCCATGCGCCAGCCCCTGGCCAAGAAGTTCACCAAGAAGAACGCCATCCACCCCTTCGAGGACCCGGCCTCGCTCGAGTTCTTCTCCGAGAAGAACGACACCAGCCTGCTCGTCTTCGGCTCCAGCAGCAAGAAGCGCCCGCACACCCTGACCCTCATCCGCACCTTCGCCTTCAAGGTCTTCGACATGCTCGAGCTCTACCTCGACCCGGAGACGTTCCGCGGGCTGGCCCAGTTCAAGACCAAGAAGTTCGCCGTGGGGCTGCGGCCCATGCTCCTCTTCGCGGGCACCGCCTTCGAGAGCCCCGTCGCCAACGAATTCACGCAGGCCAAGAGCTTCTTCATCGACTTCTTCAAGGGCCAGCCCTCGGACAAGATCGACGTCGAGGGCCTGCAGTACATCGTCTCCATCACCGCCGAGGAGACGGCGGGGGAGGGCGACGCGAAGCCCGCCATCCACCTGCGCACCTACCTCATCCGCACCAAGCGCAGCGGGCAGCGGCTCCCCCGCGTGGAGGTCGAGGAGATGGGCCCCCGCATGGACTTCCGCGTCGGTCGCTTCAAGGAGCCCGATGAGGCCACGCGCAAGGAGGCCATGAGGAAGGCCCGCGGACTGGAGGAGAGGACCAAGAAGAACATCACCACTGATTCGATGGGTGACAAGCTTGGTCGCATCCACGTCGGCAAGCAAGATCTCAAGGAGCTGCAGACGAGAAAGATGAAGGGTCTGAAGAGGAGTAGGGACGCGGACATTGAGGCCGATGAAATCGAGGAAGATGACACAAAGAGAATACGTCAGTAAAATAGGTCATGTTGCTGTTCTCGTCGTGGAGTTTGGGCGTCTGAAATGATACAATATTTCACTAAAGAAAAATTGATTTACTGAAAATGATTAAAAAACTATTTTGATTGTGCATGTAAATAATGCTTGGGGGGGGATGCCCAAAACCTCCAAGAATATAAGTTGCTAAAGATTCAATCCTTCTATGTACTCAACATGAAAACAGGCATCCAATGGCAGCAGGATACTGACAAGCCACCAGTGGTTGCACCGCCCATTTATGCGCCATCCCAATCATTCTCCCAAAATTCAACTTCTAGTGAAGGCTCTGTGTGTATATCGCTATTTCAAACAGAAGTAAGAAAAAGTAACAGAGCTGTATCGCGCGGGCATACAGCCTTGTTCAGCTCCAGTCAACGATCATTTCATAACATATATATAGATTTCAATTCGGCTCATAAGACCATCATATCGGTGTAAAGAAACATGTAGGAAGGGACGAGCAACGAGCAGCAGCTAGTCAGGGGACTCCGCCGTCAGCGGAGGAGGCTCCCCAATGGGATTAAAGGCTGAGGCCAACTGCTCTGGCGCCTGGCCCATCAAGTCAGCCATCAGCTCAATGTGGCTCACGAAGCCCTGGGGTGCAGCTGGGGCAGCTGCGTCGAACTCGTGGCCCCAGATATCGGGTGGTATCGTGGTACCATCCCAGAGAGCTATCCTGATGGGCCACTCGAGGTGACGCCACCATTTAGAGCCGGACTCGAACAAGCCGACCAAGCCCATCACTTCTCGGCGGGATACGTCCGTGAGCCACCACACATCATCCATACGCTTTAGTAATGCGAAAAAGCAAGCTAGGATGGCCAAGGCCCGCGGGCGCTTTGCCTCCACAAGCTCGACATATCGTCGTGCAACGGTGGATGGGAAACTAAGAGAGGCGGCTGGGAAGGTACTGCGATGGGCCCAATTCAATACACACACAGCATGAGTATAAGAACGAGCCGTAGTTTGCATCATATGAGGATCCTCTGTGGCAAGTTCTTCATCTAGACCCTCGAGCAGATGTCCGAAAAATGAGCCCACGCCCGATGGATTCAGATTCAACTGAAGGCCTGGTTGGGAGTCAATGACGGCTTTTACAATGGAGCTGCTCCGAATCCATAACCAGGAGCTCGCAACAATAGTTTTAACGCCCTGGAAAGCATGAAACCACGGCAGTGGCAGTGCATAGCGAGAGCTCGGATCATCCGGGTCAACATCCCCATCGTCCTTGGCAAATATTCGAGAAGCAACCGACTGGAATGCTATTAGGGTTGCTGTAAGAAATAAGGCCTCGGCATTTTCTGCGTTTATGCCCTTTTCTAGGGAGGCACAATACTCTGCCAAGGTCGAGGCTGTGTAAGCGTGCGAGGCCCTTACCAGGGCCTTGTCTTGCGGATTCTCGGATCGAAGATGTAAAGCTGCCACAGATAGAATGGCGTCTGCGAGGTACACCCTACCTTCGAATGCCATGTTGGGCACGACTCGCTGCCATACTTCGTCCACTTCGGGGGAGTTATTAAGGAGTGTCTTGGCCGTAACGTTGGTGTACTGGTGCATGAGCCGCAGTTCCATTAATCGATCTGCTTGGTTCGAGGTGTTCGGCCGTGTTAAGTTCGTCGGTTGTGAAAGCAAGGCGGGTGTGATAGGCTCGAGGCCTGGTGATAATCGACCGGCGGCTACAGGAATCGGAGGCTGCATAGGTATCGGAGTTGAAGGGACGGTCGAGACGCTGACGGGAGTCGCCACGGGGGCCAATTCGTCCGCGACTTCGGGAGCCTCGAAGTCGCAAGGAACGCCGTGCTTGACGCAGTTGCCGCATCTCGGGTGAACCTCATCGCACTGCAAATCGAACCGAGCTGGTTAGTGGCATGATACCGATCTTCACCGCAGCGGGGCCAACCAACCTTGATCTTGCGGACTTTGCACCTCCGACACCCGGCGCGAGACTTCTTGTGTGATCTTCGAGGTGGCATGGCGTCGTGCTTTGTCTTGAGTTTGGTCAACTATGTCACCTCCACGAGGCATTGACCACCGATGCAGATGTGACTTCGGGATGGACGTAAAGCATGGCCGCGGAGGCATCCGACAATTACTCTCAGGGCTCTCGCAGCATTGGGGGTGGGAGCTGCCTTGCTGCAAACTGGATAGCAAACAATATAGGGTTCCGTGCCTGCTTGGCTCAGCTTGTCGTAGCAGTTCTAAGCATGCATGTGTCGGTTGACCGACGCAGGTAAATTAGGGGACGACTAGTTTAGGTGCACGTCGAGAAAGGTCGGGGAACCGATTCAGGACTGCGATTGGAGGAGGCTTCAAGTCCAAAGAAGCGGTAATGGCTTGTCATCCCAGCCTCACTGCACCGCATGTTTGTAGGCAGCAGCTGTTGTGTGCTGATTAGTAATTTGAGCTGTGACCAGTGCATGCGCCACAAGCTGCCATAAATATTGGTTTTGGGGTGGCTCAGGCCGACGGAGCCAACATCCCTCATTTCCGCCTCACGTAATTTCATAAAAAAGAAAACTTGGGTTCAGTGCCTGAACCCATTCTGCGTCACACTGCTGTTAATTTCACTCCGCGATTCCAGACCAAATTCTCACAGGGGCAAATGACCAGGATGGCGCAATTCACCACTCTCAATCAGTCCACGCATGATGAGCTAATCGCCAAGGCCCGACCTACCCTGTGGCTGTGAACAAAAATAATGAAAATTTCCTCTCTATCGAGCAGGGACTTCTGAAAGGATCACACCGCACGTGGTTCATCCACGAATAATCAGTACAATGGCCTCCTGCCAGGCACTAGTCGACATTCGTACAGTCGGATTGGGTCCGGAATCCCGCCCCGAACTGATGATACGAAGGGTTGCACCATGCAACAGTGGTGATTCTCAGACAGGGCCCTTGTATCTTCTCTACCATCTTGGTCAAATGTATTGCAACGCACAGAACTAGCCAGATCATCCCTTATCATGACTAACCACCGAGAACTGGCCGGAATATTTACCAGAAGCAATGACAATCTGCTTAGTAGGGTTTTCCTTGGCTGGTAGCGTCATTGATTGGTGTTTAAGATGTGACAGCCAAGCGAGCCAGTAGACGCAGATAACGATGATGTGATAAGTTTAGATATGCAACAACTGTCGAGGGAAATTTGACCGCCACTTGGCTCATCACTAAAATGGCAGTTAACAAGATCGCAAGTTGTCTCCCAAATATGGCTGGCTGTCTCCCTTTGCATCTGCGACGCCGGCTTACAAACCAGCGACAATTGATCTTAGATACAGTACTACCTGTATGTGCTCAGCTAAGCAGGTGTGCAACCATGTACCCCAGGAACCAACGTAGAGGATCACCGTTTCCAGGTACGGCTGAGATCCGTGTGTGTAAAAAAGGGTAGTGCAGGTGATCACTACGTAGCATGTACGTACTCAACCAGCGATAGCCTATCGGGCGGTTATACTGAGGATTTCCGCCCAGGTGACGCAATTGCTGCTGA